ATGTCACAGGCGTGCATGCACATGTTAGATGAACTGAAGAGAATCCAATCTGTAAAATGATCTGTAAAGAGATTTGATTTCTTCCCTCTCTATGGGGTATGAGGAGTTGATTCTATGAATACTCCTAACTTTCTTAGAGCTCTACCACCAGTCACGCCACATCAGGCATGTGGGAGTTTGGAGTTCAGCGTGTGTTCAAAGGACAGCAGCTCCAGTCTCCAGCTGTGGGCTGGCACTAAGTCAGAAACCTGGAGTCCCCAAGGGCAGCATGGCCACAAAAGGGAAAACAACAAAAACAATCAAAAAAAATTTTAACCCTTTCTCAAGAAAGGACATAGAGGCAACCAAAAGGCATTCTGGGTAGGATGGGAGGAGGTATGAGCTGATTATGAAAAATGATAACTATTTGTTAGAAATTTTTTGAAGGGGCCGCAGAGGGAAGACACTGAACTCACTATGTTCAAGCTCACACAGGAATATAAGACTAAAAATAGACTGTAGAATTATGTACTATGAGTTTCAACCCAAATGAGGGCACCCTGGACTCACGAGATGGAAGATAACTGAGGGAAACTCAGTGACTGGGAGCTCAGATAGGGGAGATCTGAAACAGGAGCACTCAGGCGCCCAGGTCCTAGGAAGTACCTCAGATGGAGGCTTGCTGCTTTTCTACCTGTTATCGCCCTGGAGGTAGAGACAACTCAGCTCGAGACAAGCCTAGAAGAAACAAGAAATTCAATGGAAAAAATCAGTCCATCCAGGCACTTCTTGCAAGCACCTTCCAGAGAGTAGGACTCAACGTGTTCCCAGAAGAAGCTAAACACCAAAGAGACCCCTGGCTGTTACTGGCTGACGACAGACACAATTCCACACAGTGGGGGATGGAAAAACAGGAGACATTAAAACAAAATGAAGCTCAGAACATCCTCTACAACCAAAGTGTCTGGAAGTCCCTTGGCCATCCCAGAAAGAACATCCAGAAAGAATTCCGGCCAATAATAGCAACACTGTGTCTCAACGAATAGAACGTAAAAGAAATACACAACAGGGAAAAGAAGACAAATACCCAAGCAAATCCACAGGGGGGAAATTCACCACAAGAATATCAGCCATCAAAAATCACCAAAGAAATAGAACTGCTCAACCTATCAGTTCTCAGATAGAGAATTTAAAATCATCATGATAAACAAAAAGAAGATGAGAAGGAAAAAATGATATGAAGCAAACTATCAAGGCATTGAAGAATGCAAACAAGGAAATGAATGAAAGAAATGAAAATGAAATGAACTTGTAAGGGTAACATTCATAGAACAAAATTAGTTGTGGTAGTGTGTTAGATTAGGCTAATAGATGATAGTAACAGTCATGTTAATGGAGAAATAATAGAATGGTCTTCATGAAACATTAAAATAAATGTATTTATGACAGGAAAGCAAAATGAAAACAACAGCTCAGAAAAGATTTTTAAAATATAGCAATAGTCTGTTGGAAATGCGAGAGAATGATTAAAATGAATACAACTAATTGGCACACTGGTAAGATGCTTCATACATCTAGGGAAGTTGCCTCAAATACAGACTATATGGTATTTAAAAGTAAAGAAAAAATAAAATTAAGGTGGTATAAAGTATAAAAGATGTTCAGCCTCCCTGGTGGCGAAACTGGTTAAAGTGCTGCCCTGTGGAGCTAGTGGCAGTCACTGCACCATGAGCTCGAACCCCGGCCAAGGAGCTGACACACACAGTGTAATAGACATCTACTGTCTGCTGGCTGCTCCCCTCAGCAGTGTGTTTTGCTCATTCTGCCTGTTCTACTCCCCACTCCTTCTCTGGAGAGTCCTCTCACCTACCACACCTCTGGCTTGTACCCCAGTTCTTGTATGCATAAATAAATACATCTTTTTTAAAAAAGATATTTAGCCCATTTATGTTTGTTGTCATATTGACTTTTTTTTATTTATATCATCAGTAGTTTTCTGTTTAATGCCACCTCTTTTGTTTGCTTTCTTTCTGTTATCTCCTAGGCACGAACTTTCTTTCCCCCTCATTTTGCTTTTATATAACTTATGTTCAGGCCAGATTTTAATCATGACAACAAGGCTTATATATTTCCAGCCACCCAAGTTCTACTTCATCAAGTTAGCTCACTAATAGTATCTATTTATTTATACTGTTAAGAACATATGAATATTACATTTTGTGAGCATGTATATTGAAAAACAAACTTCTTTGTTAGGTGAAAATCTAATTGCATAACAACTTCCTGGAAGGTTTCAGTCCATCTTCTCCCTTTAACTTGACTAACTTTTTTCTTTTCCATTTTACTTACTCTACTACTCCTGAAATGGCTGTATATAGATTTATGGTTATTAAACCTACATTTCAATTTGTCATGTTATGTCTAAGTATGGGATGATTTTTCATAAATTTTGTCCAATTATCACACTTTCTGCTTCCACATTTTAATATCAGAAATTTAAATTCAACCTTTGATACTTCCTTTAATCTTGTGTTAGTATCTTCTTCTATGGTGCCTATTATTATTAGATTACAGAATTTCAAATGATTCCTTATCCTAGCTTTATCCCTTTTCATTTCAGCTTGTTATCTTTGTATCTCTTTCTGTTGTCCCTTCATCTTTTCCTGGTATCTCCTGGTGTACTTATGTTTCTTAGAAATTATACTTACTGGAGACACCTAACCTTACAAATATATTTCTATAATATTCTCCAGGTAACTATGTTTTCATTCAGATTACTGTGAAATACTACAATCATGTTCTCTTTCCTTATTTGTATGTTGTTTGTTTGTTTCTCCTTTGAAATTTTGATGTTGATTGATATCACTTTTTTCCCCCTAAGACATCATGAAGGATTATTGAGTGAATGTTGACCTACCCACTTTAAGTTTATTAGATTTTTGAATTTCTTTTTCATTTCTGGAGCCCAGATATATGTCCATAAATTCTTAAGCAAGTTGGATGTCTAGTCATTTTTTTTTTTTAAGATTTATTTATTGTGCATGCAGAACTGGGGTACAGGTCATGATCAGGGGTGGCGAGAGGCTTCACCAGAGACAGAGTGGGGAGCAGAACAGGCAGATGGACGAAGTACACTGCTGAGGGGAGCAGCGGGCGGGTCAGGAGAGGTCTGCCGTCCCATGTGGTCACCTCCGGGGCAGGCGGGAATCGAACTCATGTGGAAGTGGCTTTAGCTTCTTAGTGCTGTGCTTTAACCCGCTGCGCCACCAGGGAGGGCCCTGTCTAGTCATTTTTATAGTGTAGTTCTTCTGGAGACAATGTAAGCTCCTCCCCATGCTAACTCAATTTTCAAAGGTCTAAACCACTGAGTTCAAGAAAAGAGCTACATTCAGCCTGCATTTCTACCAGAGTTCTTAATCACTTCTGCCTTTAGCCTTTAATGCTTGGAATGTCATCTCTGTCAATGCAATATGTTGCTTCCAATTTCTCTCTACAGTCTGCCTTATGGTTTCTGAGGGATGTGGGAATATAGCAGAGGCAAAGGAACACTGGCTTAGTCACGTCCAAAAATTATATCTGTGTATTACAGAGATAAATTTATATTCTCATTGGCATATATAGACTATGGTATCAGATCACAGGGGAAAGGAAAATTGTTTTTCCTATTATCTTTCTGGCAAGTGGAGCTGCCTTATGATGTAAAATTCATGTCAGTCACAAATTACTTTTATTAGTCCTTTGCCATCTACCCTATAGATAGTAGGAATACTTAGCAGATTGTAGCAATAGATTGCCAGTCAGAGTTAGTTTTCAGGGTGGCTTCTGTTCTCATCTTTAAATATCTACCTACATGGGTATTTTAGAGGATGATTGAAAGAGAATATGCCTATTTAACTAGAATAGTGCATTTTAAGTCACAAAGCCCCAGATATTTCAGGTTTTAAACCTTAACTGTGCTTTGATAAATGGAAAGAGAAAGTTTGAGTTCTTCCAGTCACGACCCAACATTCTCCTATTGCCAGATTCCTATATTGCAATAGTGAGAAAGAGAAAATAATCCTCTTAATTTCTATCCTTGAAGCCTGGGATGATACAAATCACGATTTGCATTGAATTATGGAGTCCAGACCAAGGTCACACCACCTTCTAGGTACAGTTGTTATCTCCATAAGTTTGAGTCTTTCAGCTGGTAAAATGAAGGTGAGGGGTGGGGTGGAAGAAATGGATAAGATAATATACCTAAGTAGCAAAGCAAGTGGGTAGCCTCTCAGTTACTATTGGTTATTTCAATTAAGTGTCTCAAATTGTTTCTCTCTCTACTGGTTTTTAAAAGGAAAATATTTGCCTTTTGAAAGAATAGCAAAGTTCCCTTCTAACTTTTTCATTAGAAAAAGAAAATAAGTATACAATCAAAGGGCAAGAATTAAGACCCAGATTACCATTACTTGGTACATCCTACCTGTGTATTAGTGTTTGTTTTTTACATTTCACTTTCACTATGTGCTCAGCACTTTGCAAACAAAATGGTTAGTGTGCATCTTGTAAACGGTTTGTAAGCATTTCATTTCTGATTTCATATCTGGCTAGTAATTCAGTACACCACTTATCGGTAGGGATTTTGTATAATTATGAAGATTAAGAAACAAAAGCATCTACATATATTGTAAATAATGGACTCTAATTTGTGTTGGAAAAGACCAGGTTACTCTATTCTCCCAAACAAAAGACTCTTAATTATAGAATTAAAAACCACCCTACCATACCTTCTAATTAAACATAAATTCTTTGAAAGCCTGGATTAATTTTACCTCCTTTGTATCATTCTTATCACACAATATACATCTGGGCCCACCAACAACAAAACTCATTACATTTTTTTGCATTCACCACATTTTTTTCTATCTCAAAGATATTTTTATAGCATTTCAGTAATTATTTAACTCCATTTTTTATCATTTACATTCTTTTTTATCATCATGATTCTTTGCTCATCAACGTGAGCAATACTGGGTTTAACTCACCAGTTGAGGTAAAAAGGTATGATCCTGTTTGTTCCAGCACTAGCTGTCCTTTTATGATCTGTCTCAGGCCCAAGATTCTTTTTATCAGAGTGTTGAAAGCAAGGTAGGATGACAGTGACTGGTTTCTGGAAAGGATGTGTTGATGGATGCTGAATATGCATCAGAGGGCTGGTGGCTAATACCAAGTAGGAAGTATCTTGCTGTGTTTTTACCCATGAAACCAGAGATGGTTCTATTGGTTGGACCTCAACAAAGAAGAGAATAAGCATATATATTGCTAAAGAACAAAAGATGCAAAATATCAGCAGATTTCTAAAGCCAATTTTCTGAAAATTTGATAGAACATAGTTTTACATTTCTCTATACATCATTGTCTTGAGTCTACACTGTATTAACTTATAGAAGAGCAAAACATTGAGTTCCCTTTTATAAAGTCTCTGAAATCTAGGTTCCCTGTCCTATGTTATAAATAACTTGAGAAACACTCTTAATTGTAGGCAACAAAATGACCTAGAAAACAAAATAGATATTTTACATAATTTCTAATTAAAACTATTGTTGGATCAAGTGGTCTTTAGAACTAGAAATACAAAATTATATTTACTTAAATATTTCCTCTTGCTCACTAATAAAAATAACCAAATAATTTTAAAAAACTCTAACTTTATGGAACAATTTATTGAATAAATTATTGATAGCATGTTTTCTTTTTAGTTTTTCTACCAGCGCTTATTACTTCTGGTAAAAACTGAGAGAAAGAGGAGAGCATAGGGAAGAATTGAAGCTAGGAAGAAAAAATATTTGAGTACATAAATCTTCTTAAATGTCTACCACCATGTCATTATATATATACCTCAGAAGTAGCCTGTGTATGTTATTCTATAAAGGAATATATATGATATATTTTATGATATAGTATTACCAAATATTCATAAACATTAGTAATTTAACTGACCAGCCTCTTTCTTTGACATCCTTAAATGAAAATTCTGAATCATATGTATGTCCCATATTATTCTGGTATCAGTTCCATTATAGACACTATACACACTCAAGATAGTTTTGTTAACAAACATTTACAAAACATGGTTAAAAATTAACTATGGTAGTCTTTAAATAAAGCAAAAAATTTTTTTTTGTAATAGTATGTTCCAAATCATTACTTTATTGCTAAAAACATGTTAGGTTATTAAAAATGTAAGAATTCACTTATTATTATACAGTAATAAATATTCATAATATCTTTACTCTTTAGGATGCTGACCAACAAACTATAAGAAGGAACTCTTATCTACCTTTAGTATTTTAATATTTACCTTTAACTGCACCAGCACTGGTGAGCTGAAAACTCCTGGAGGATAATTTAAAGATATTCGCGAATCCATGCTTGGCTTAAGAGTAAGGCCTTTTTTTGTTACTGTGAAAGTCTCTTTCTTTAAACAGGACACAACAGAAAAGATACCCAACTTGTAAACTTTCACTTCTGCACAGGTGCCCTGCATGGGTTGAAGGACAATAAAACAAGGACGTTAATCTGTCCTGGGGTATATGCTCTACATCCTCGGTGGCTGTAAAAAATCAAACAATATTATGCTATCCCTGGCATTTTCCACACAATTCCATTTGCCCCAAATGAGTGATTCTTTCATAGACAAAGTAAATTAGGTAAATTTTTTTTTCAAATGTGGACTACATGGGGAAAAAAAAGAGAGACAGAAAGAGTGTATTTTTAATTTAAAATTTATTTATTAGAAAGTGTATCTGTGGCCATCCTTGATGGCACAGTGGTTTAAAGCACAGGACTAGGAAGCTGAAGCCACTCCAGCTGGCGTTAGTTCCCCACCCTGGAGGTGACCCACATGGCGCAGCGGACCTCTCCTGACCCACCCACTGCTCCCCTCAGCAATGTACTTCATCAATCTGCCTATCAACTCCCCACTCTGTCTCTGGTGAATCCTCTCACCACCCCTTCACCTCTGGCTTGTACCCTAGTTCTTTATGCATAAATAAATAAATCTTTAAAAAAGAAAAGTGTATCTGTA